ACGCGATTCTTGAATGCAGCATCAGGTGACTACACCGCTACCTCGATATAACGCTGTCCTCGTGAGCCAAAAAATCTATTGTGTTATAGGTGAAACCACATTATATCGAACTGGCTTTGATCCACCGGAGTGCGCAGCCCCGCCCCCCCGGAGCACTGCTTTACCGCATTATATCCAAATTCCTGTTATATCAGGTCACATTATATCGGGGTAGAGGTGTATCTAGTTGGGAGTAGGGAGATGTCATTACTTCTGTGTATTGCAGGTGTGAAACACCTAATGGAATACTGTGGTGTTTCCACACTGTAAAAAGAATGTTGACACATTGGAAAGACTTGACAAAAGGGCTACATGAATGATCCGAGGTCTGGTAAACAGGCCTTATAATGACAGCCAGACACACAGAGTGCTACTGAAGAGAAGGTTAAAGATGACTTGATCATGGTCTATAAGTACTCATTCAGGGAGAAGATATCGAATACTTAGGGCTTTGTAAGCTATCAGGAAAAGACACAAGATACCATGGTAGGGAGCTGAAGCTAGAAAAATTGAAACTGGAAATAAGATGCACATTTTGGACAGTGAGGGTGATTGGAATAGTTTAACAAGGGATGTAATAGATGCTCCATCAGTTGAAATCTTTAAATCAAGATAACTAGGATATGACAGATATCAGAATCACTGGGTGAAGTTCTCTGGCCTGTACTATGCAGGAGGTCAGACTAGGTGATCATAATGGTCTCTTTGGGCCTTAAACTTTATGGCTATATTAGATAGTCTTGCCCTGCCCCTATGACGAGTCATTTTCAGCCTCATAATCCAGCATTCCCCTCTCACTGTTAGCTATTTCAAAGCCTCTGCAGCCCAACCCTTCTCAGAGGTTAGGGGTATCCTTTTGATATGCAAATACTGTGGTGATCATTCTCTAAGTCTACTCTCAAGCAAGCAAAATAGATTTTTAGCAGCCACATTCCTGAGAGAGAGGCTGTTCGTCTCCCTTCACAGCAAATCGGGAGGTCTGCTTTTTGTTTTGTTGCTTTTTCTAAAGGTGGCATACGCACCAGTCAGTTTCAGACCTCTCCCCCTAGACAGGGAAGGCAGAGACAAAGGACTTTTAGTTTCAAAGACTTTAAAGTATGGCTTTATTCAACTTTAACATTTTCAATATGTGGAATCAGTGAATATAAAACAAAGCCCATTACTTCAGTAAAACAAGAGGTAACTATTTTATTCAGCTTTTAACATCCTCCCCTCCTTATTTAGTTACTCCCCTTTCTACAACAGATGTATTTTTTACTCTCATACTAAGAATCTGCTATAATACCGCTGAAATCATTGCTAAAATTATATACACTCTCTTGCATGTAGTTTTTCCATGGCAGATAGGCCAAGTAACAGACGGCAGAGACTGGAGATTAAGAATGAAAGGAGCTTCAATGAAAATACTGTAATCTTGCAGCAACAGCCTCATTCTGGTGTGACCCACTGCCAGGCTGGGAAAACGAGAGCTGGTTCCCCACGGTCAGAGAGACCAGCAACACTGGGCCTTCACGAAGCCACCCGAGTTCTGACAGCACCAAGCAGCTCAGTGCCTAAATCATGCCTAAGCTTCAGCAGGATTCACAAACTCCGTGTTTCCCCATATCTTGCCCTCAGGACCTGTTCTGGTCGGGGTGCCCAGAGGCTGCCTAAGCACATGGCTAGCAGATCAGGTTCTGCACAAAATATGGTGTGAGCGGTGGCATCCACAAGCCCAGTGGCACTAACTCAGGATGCGGGAGACCGGGGTTCAAATCCCTTCTCTGCCTGTTTCAGAGAGGGACTTGGACCCAGCTCCCCCACATCCCAGGTGAGTGCCCTAACCAATGGGCTACAGGAGGTGATTTGGAGCGGGGCTCTCTCAATCCCTCCTATTGAAGATATCCCCTTTGTCAGAAATATACCGTCATTGGGCCAGAGTGAGTGAGTGAGAACAACACTACAGCTCAGCACTCACCTGGGCCAGAGAACCTGAGCATAAGGGAGGCACCAGCACTTCCTCATGCTCTTGAGAAAGGGCTGATCTGGGTTAGGCATCTAACTCCAGGAGAGGGTTCACAGCACCTCTCTCCAGCCTAACTCCATTTGGGGGGCAGGGCTTTGGCCACTCCCCCCCCCCCCCCCCTTCCCCCCGGGGTGGCCAGGCCGCTCCCCACCCAGCACGCCCCTCCCCCCCCCCCCCCCGCCCTTTTTTTTTTAAAGTCACCTCACTCTCCCCAGGCATTATATGGAGAGACTGGGTGCCTAACTCAGGGTTGTGAATTCCTCTAGGCAGCAAGGCACCTAAAAGTTAGGTATTGCAATGCTAAGCACTGGAGTGCCTAACTCCCCTTGTGTATCTAGCCCATGGTGTTTTTCTTAAAGGCCCAGCTTCAGGAATTTTGTGATTACATGGGAAGAGGAAGTTACTTTCCTTGTGGTAAATGGAAGCTCTTTGAGATGTGTGGTCCCTATCTGCACCACAAGTTAAGTAATTTCCTCTTCTTCTTTGAGTGCTGGTCCCTATGTGTATTCCACTGTGGGTAACTGACCAGCAGGAGGAGGATGCAAGGATGCAGAGCCGTTCGGAGAACTGCTGTCGCAAAGGATGCGGTGCAGTTCTGCACTAGTGCATACGGTCTCTCAAACGTGGGAATGGAACTCCATGTAGCTGCTCTGCAGACGTTGAGTAAGACTTTGGGATTGGGATGGTTGATCCTGCCCTTCTACTGGGTCAAGAGATTGGGAAAAGACTGGATGCTGAATGGAGGACGAGATGACAATCACAAGAGATTTGAGAACCAAAACTGTCTGTGCGACGACTGGGGGTGATGAGGACGGTGCCCTGTCCTGACGAGTTTTCCGAAACACCTGAGGTAGGAGCGGTAAGGGAAGAAAGGCATAGCTCAAGGTGGTCTGCCTGGGGAGAACGAGAGCATCGACCTAACAGCATAGTCCTAGAGCTCCTCTGCACCAATATATGTTGCTGTTCTTGTTCATTCAAAGGGCAAAAAGATCCCGAGTGGGGGAGCACATTGAACGAGGAAGCTATCTACTACCAAGTCATGCGATCAATGGCAAAATGCCTGCTGAGGGTGTCCACCAACACATTCGATAAGCTGCTGACAGGCTGATTCAATACCTGATACACCATTCCACAGGGCGACTGCTTCTACACATAGGGGACTGATTTCGCCCCTCCCTGTTTGTTGGTGTAAAAGAGGGTTGTCTTGTCGTCTGACATTATGTGGACATGTTGGGACAGATGAATTGTAAACAAACCTTGCAAGCTTCTTGGATTAGCCAGGGTGCCAGAAGGTTGATGTGCATCCCGGTCTTTAGGGATCTCCAAGTGCTCTGTGCCATATGGCTGTCCATGTGGGCCCACCAGTAAGACAGAAGCGTCTGTAACGATCACCTTGCCTGGCAAGAACGATAGGAAGGGGACGCCTACATGTACCTGATGGGAATACTTCCACCACTTCAGGGTAGAGGTGACTCGAAGAAATTCTTGTTATGGTATTATACTGTGTTTGGTCTGGAGCGCCGTCTGAAGGCAATCTAGGTGGAGTCAGGTGACTAGGGTAATGTAAGTACCTGAAGCCATGTGCCCCAGGAGGGAAAAACAAGCTCTGACTGGAGCTTGAGGGTTGTACACAACCTGATCTATTAGGTTGCTTATGGTTGTTGATGTCCCTTGATAGGTAAATTGTCACCATGACAGTGGCCCCTATGAAGTCTATAGTCCACAGTGGAGCAAAGACAGACTTTTCCAGTTCACACTGACTCCTAGAGAGGAAAGTAGCTGAAGCACTGATGAGGTTGACTTATAGGCTTCCTGACGTGTCTTGGCAATGAGAAGCCAATCGTCAAGATGGGGAAAATGAAGAAGACATTCTGTCTGAAATGAGCTGCTGTTACCAGAAAGACCTTGGTAAAGACACTGGGGGCAGTGGCAAGGCCGAATGGGAATACCCTGTATTGAAACTATTCAGGGTTCTCCATGAATCTGAGACAATGCCATCACATTGAGAGCTGTGAGCCATATGCCATTTTCCAGCGATGGGATTATTTATGCCAGAGTGACCATGCGAAATCTCATTTTACAAATAAAGCTGCACTTGTAGTTTCAATGGAGTTGCACCTGCTTACACCAGCAGTGAATTTGGCACTGAGCCTACACTCTTTGTTGATCTACTACTTGCCTCATTGAAGATACCGTACTGTATAGTCATGGGGTGAAATCCTGGCCCGACTGAAGTCAATGGCAAAACCCCATTGATTTCCATAAAGCCAGGATTTTACAAGGGGCTTTATGTTCCAGTTTCCAGCGGAACTAGAATAGCAAAATAAAGCAGCAACCATCTACAAGACAAGCTACCTACGAGTTGCATACTGAGGTTCCCCTGAGACCTCTTCCACTTGGTTCCCCACAAACTCAGCTCAATTCCAGTCTCGTCACTCAGGCTCCTTTACTAGCATACAATCAAACTAAGCTTGAGTTGATCAGGCTCAAGCATAGGGGGTGGGTACACAGTATATCACACATCCAAAGCTACACAGCAAACCTCTTCCTTTATATACATTTATACATTACATTGCATTTACTATACATTGCATCACATGTTCTGGCATCGGCTTGGTCGCTTTGTAAGAACCAATCCATGTACAACACACGTTGTCCATGCACGACTTGCTCTTTACTTCATCTTACATTCCAGGTTTATTGGATTCATTATTATCTTGTCAACTGTAAATGGTTCCCTGGGTATCCCCCCTTATCTTAGCCAGTACAGATATTCTGTTCCCAACCTGCTGATCATTTCTGGGGAGACAGGATTAGGGAGGTAAATGGGAGGCCTCACTCACAGCCAATTACTCGTGTCAAGCCAGGCCTACAGAGAATCCTGCATGCAAAGGGGGAAGACAGTTTGGGAAGAGCAGGGCTGTCAATTACAAACACTGGGGAACTGATCACTTACTTTGGGAAGATGGAAGTCATGAGCGCTGATGCATACCCAGGTTTGCAAACTCCCTCAGAGAAATTTGCATACTTTGATGCTAGTTCTGGAGGCCTGTGGAAAAAAGGATGAGAGTCAAGACTTTCCAGGGTATGTAAATGCTGAGTGTGTCACCCTGATCCTTTTGTTATTTAAATCTTTTCCTTAACAGTGCTTCTCCAAAACAGCTATGAAGAATCTTAACAGAAACAAAAGGTTTCTTGTTTGTTTTTTACACTAATATGGGAGAATATCAAACCACCGTGGGGTCAGAAATATCTGAAACACCACTAAATCACTACTTCTATTGCGGGACTTCAAACTCTTAGGAAGGTGACGCTCCAGGAAGGAATTAAAGCTATCCAGATACTATTTTAGATGGCTGCCTCTCCAAAAGGAAGTGAAGACTAAAAGGTAACAGAGAACCACTTGTTCAGGCTATTTTTCTACTACACCTCTACCTCGATATAACGCCGTCCTCGGGAGCCAAAAAATCTTACCGCGTTATAGGTGAAACCGCGTTATACTGAACTTGCTTTGATCCGCCAGAGCGCGCAGCCCTGCCCCCCGGAGCACTGCTTTACCGCGTTATCAGAATTTGTGTTCTATCGGGTGGCGTTATATCGGGGCAGAGGTGTACTTGCTAGAAGTAAGATGTCAGTGGAAGTGGAACTTACAGGACAAGTTTCAAACATTTTAATTAAATTACAAAGCAGATTTCTACTAGCCTACTGCCATCAGCCACTGTTTAGACTTGAAAGGGGATGGAACCTTTGGGCAGCCAAATAGACAGAGCTGCCCTTGTTCTATTGGGAAGTGGCCTAATAGCACAGCCGGTCAAGGGCCGAGCAGTGACTCCAGATACAGAAGCCTAAAGAAAAGAGCAGTAACTGACACACAGTCTAAGTGGTTAAAGCTTGGCACTCGGAGAGAGGAGATTTGAGTCTAGTACACAACTTTACCACAGACTTACTGTGTGACCTTGAGCAAACCTCTCTGTGCCTCTGCTCCCCATCCGCAAAATGGAGATAATACTACTCATCCATATTACAGATATATTGCAAGGCATAAATCATTAATGGAGATACCTAGATGCAAGCCACTACACAAAAATTATTATTCCAAACAAAAAACTGATGAGAAATGGTCCTACAGCACTAGAGATATACTGCACCATTGATAGCAACTATTCAACAATGACATTTTGATAAGGTTCTAAAATAGTAGCGAGAGAAGGCGAGTAGTGTGGATCCATGCAGACAGTCCTCTCAAAGAATCTCAGTTACCACCAGAACTGTTCTTTCTTCTCCAAGCATTGCCTACATGGATCCCGCCTCTAGTTATTTTGTCCTCCCACACCTGTTGGCATTGGGATCTGATGTATTCATTTAGATTGAATATGCAGATCCAAAGAGTTAAAGGTGTTAACATGACCAGTCACTATCAACACTGAACAGTTTTAAACAAGGTTAAGGGACCACAGGCTACTTAGTACCACAGCAAATACATTAAAAATCCTTTTAACCTTTTATTAAAGACCGGGGGTGGAGGAGGAAAAACAGTTAAAGCATTTGAAATGTAAAGTATTAATTAATGCTTTCATTTTAATAACATTCCTTGTTCTCTTTCCCTTCCAAGAGAGTCTGTCAAACATGGAGGGTTTTCCTTCTAAAGTCTCTTAAGATGGCAATAACTATCCTTTTTGGGGAAAAGAGAAGACGTTAATTAAAACAGGCTGGAGCTGTTGTTGTTAAAGTCTGATCCTGTTTCCTAGAAGACAAAACAAGACAAACACACACAAAAGAAGGAGAGAAAAGACCAGCAGAGATAGAAAATAAAGCTTCTGTCCCTGATATTGACTAGCTTGCAACCTCACTGCCGGAGAAACACAGGCCCAGCCCACAGTCTTACCAGCCACTCCGAGACCTAGCAAACTGGTATCAGCATCAGGCTGTTTAGGATATTGCATTTAGCTGCCTTTTTCTGATCACAGGCTCACAGCAGTGTTGCAAAATATACAGTCTAGGCTGACTAAGCCAGACGGAAAAAAGAGGAGAGGAATGAGAAGAAATAAGGTGGGGAAGGAAAAGAAGACATAAATAGGGCACAGTGGGGAGATTGGGGGGGAGAAGTGGGTATATGTGAGTGAGAGACAAGAGAAAGTCTCACATCACAGGTGGTATGTAAGATTTAGATGGAGCAGGTGGCGATGTCATCTGGGCTCCCTCTCTCTGACCGAGTCTGATCAGGACATCTTTCAGGATTAGCATGAAGACGGTCCCGGGTCCAAGGAGACAGTAGGGATGGCAGCCATGATGATAAAGCTGGCTCCAGCAATTATTGGCAGACAGATGCTTCTTCTGCTAATTTTTCCCCAAAGTCTTTTCTTTTTAAGAACCCCAGAAAGGAGTGTTGGGCAGAATACTCCATCCTCTCATTATTTTGACCTCCAATAGACAAATTTTAAACACACCAATTTTGGTTCATTGATTTCCATTCCTCTACTCCTCTTGTTTACCAATCATCTTAACACAGTCCTTGAGTGGAATCAGTACAGCCCTTTCTGTTCGGACTAATTCAGTCTGTCTCTTTTGTGTGTCTTTTCTCATCAATATTTGTTGTGATCACTTATTGTGGCACTTTATGAACTTTCTCTCACTTTTTACAGTTGAACAATTAGTGGAAATTTGTAGGCCCATTTATCACAACATAATCTCTCTCATGGCAAGGGAACACCCATATGTGCTACAAAATCTGCATTATAAGGAACAGCTTCCTTCTGTTGATTTAATAAGAGCTATTTACATCTAAGCAATGTAGTTTATACACGTTTGGGAATAGATGGGAGTTGGAGAAAAGGAAAAGTTATTCCTACTTGGGAATTTCCTTTCTTAGAACCTTCATAGGCTCGCGGTTAAGGCACAGGCTGAAGATTCTGGAGATATGGGGACAATTCTCAGATCTGCCAGATCTTAATTCTCATTACTTTATCCATCTGTTCCTCATCTATACAGTGAAAGTAATAATACTTCCTTTCGCAGTCTTGTCTATTTATGTTGTAAACTCTTCAGAGTAGGGACTATCCTTGCTATGTCTGTGTGCAGGGCCCAGCACAACAGGGTCCCTCTCCTGCTTGGTGCTACTATCATACAAAGGAAAACAGTAAAGGTGGGATTTTAAAAAGTGCCTAAGGAGTTAGCAGCACAAGTCCCACTGTGACTTTCAATGGGGTTTGTGTTCTTCACTTCCTTAGGTGATTTTGAAAAATCTCACCCTAACTAAATCATTGAGTCACCAAGACTGCTGGCTCCTGTCAAACAGAGAGCAGTACTACTAATAAATAATGATGATTATGTGGACTTGGACCGTGCCATCCAATCAAGGAACTCAAAGTAGTTTACAAACATCAAATAACTCAGGCACTACTGTGAGAGAGGTAAATATTTTACATATACAGAAAGAGGCTCTTTTTAACTCAAAAGACCCCAGAACCACTAAAATGCAGTTGGGAGTTGGAGCATGATATGTCAGTCAGCCAGACCACAGCACACTGTAAAGTGTGTAAGGATGTGTGTATGTATAGGAAAGAGGGTAAAATTTTAGATACACCAGGCAAACTCTAACTCTGAAGTGACATTGGATCTTTACTGTCTGAACAGTGAAGTACTGACAGGACAGAAAGCCCCTCAATTTGTTAAGGTTTTCTCCAACAGACCCTGGCATCATAAACTGCATAATGTAGAATTCACTTATGTCAGTAGAAAAAGCGGAGTCATCCCTGCCAGGATTTGAACCTGGCATTCCAGGGAGTCCAGGTATTCCAAACCTATGGCTGAGACTGCTAATCTGCTGTTTCCGGTTTACTGTAATACTATATTAATCTGCTATTCACACCATGGTCTGTTGGTGGTGGTAGAGACTTTCAATGAGTTCAGTTATAATGAGTGGTTCTCCCCTGGCCAGGGTGTGAGACAAGGTGTATTTTGTCCCCAAGCCTCTTTAACATATGTGCAGAATTTATGGATGTGAATCATGGGAAGTTAATGCTTCTGACAAGAAAACTGAAGCTTTTGAAATGTGGTGCTAGCAAAGATTCTAAGGTATCTCCTGGATGAAAAACCGAAAAATGCCTACATTATAAATATTACTGGAGAGAAAACAGATGGAAACTTACGTACTTTGGTCACACTAGGAGTAGATATGGAAATAACCTGAAGAAAGTTACTATGGAAGGAATGGTGGAGGGTCATGACAGTAGGGGTCAACCAGTGAAAAGATGGATGGATGGATGGTGTGCACTGGGTCTCTGGAAAGTTAGTAATGGATTGAGAAGACGTCTCGCAATTCTGTCATGTAATAGTAGTAGGCATCCTTCAGTCTCGAGAGACCGTGGGTATGCACCCCAAGAGGTAAAGAATTTACTCAGTTGGCTTTTTGGCAGCCGCAAACATGGCTGAAGAGACCCACTTGAGAGAAACAATCTCTGCCGCATCTGTCACATTTAAAGGTGACGTTTCGACCTTTGGGCTCTGCCTTCTGCAAGCTCTTTTCTCCTCTGCTAAACTGGACGGCTTCCGCTCAGAACTCCAGACACCTTTGTTAAGCTTTTGTTTCCAAAGGCTGTGGTCTTGAGTGTGATCTTCCCATTTGTCCACATCCATGTCCATTTCTTTAAGGCCTCGCTTGCACACATCCTTGAAACACAATTTTGGGCATCCTTTGGGTCTTTTACTAGATGCCAGTTCGCCGTAGAGGATGTCCTTTGGTATGTACCCATCATTCATTCAGCACACATGCCCAAGCCAGCAGAGGTGTCTCTGTTTGAGGAGTGTTTGTATGCTGGCCCTCTTGAGCACCTCAGTGTTGGTGACTCTGTCCCTACAGGAGATTCCAAAGATCTGATGAAGGCAACGCATATGAAAGCTGTGGAGCCTCTTTTCCTGATGAGAGTATAAGGTCCCTGTCTCACTCCCATACAAAAGTGTGCTGATCACACACGCTCCATACACACAGATCGTTGTGTGTTCTGTCAGTTTGTTGTTTTGCCATAACCTCTTGTCTAGACATTGTTGACA